GCTGCAGGGCCACAACATGCAGGGCCTTGTAGGCCATATGAAGGAGTTTAGTCTTTATTCAAAGGGAAACGCTGTTGAGAGATTTAAGGCAAGGGATGACAGATTTTTATTTTAAATAGATCCCTCTTGCTGTAATCTAGTGGGAAGACAGGGACAGACCACTCAGATGCAATAATAGTGTCAAGAAGAGACATGGTGATAGTATGGACTAGGAGGGTGGCTGCCAGGACAAAGTGCACAGTTGATTCCAACTGTTACATTCATACTCCATGCTTAAGGTAAATGTTAATCTTTTTACTTAATTACACAGCCAATAATTTGATATTCTGCTTTCTACATATATCTTAGAGCTTTTCGTGAAATAAAGATCACATTTAAGATATCATTTCAGTACCTTAAATATTCAGGTCTCAAATGTAAAAACATTTTATTCTAATTAAAAAATAAAATTGTAAAATTCACATTTTGCTTCTGTTGGATAAACGTGACTATGTCATAGAGAAAATTTGTGTTTTACGAATTAAGCACAAGAACATCTGTTTAATTAGGCTTGAATGGTGATTTTGTTTTTACTTCTAAGTACTTACTATGGGAGGACAACTTTGTANATGAAGTTCAAGTTGTATCTAAAAGGATACTCATTCTCAAATACATTTTTGTCCTAATTGATTCAATCTTTAAAATCAATTAAATAAGCAAGACAAGCACTTCAGAGCAAAGGTAGTGTCATTTAAATCAACAAGTTTTGTAGACCATCTCAATACAAGCATCTTTGGTATATTATTAATCATATAATATATCATCATATAATATACACATATCATAATATATAATAGTCATGATATATAACATATAATATATATTATAATATCCATATAATATATAATAATAAAAATATATATGTACCTGCTGAAAGAAAAGAAGTATCTCATATAAAAGTGCTGTAGCTGTATCTGTATATTGCAGGATAAGTTTCTGTAACTAGAATTTTCAAGAATAATTAATGCAATATCACAGGCTAAGACAGAAAATGGTAATATCTTTTGGTTCCCTTTAGGTACTTGTAAAAGGAT